TGCAGTAAAAAAAGTGCTTAAACTTCCTGCTTGAAATTTAATTTCATTATATCAAATATTACACATTTTCAAAACCTTGACTAGTTTGTTTAGTGCAAAGTTACACGATGGACTATCTGCGTTATGTCTGACACATGAATCGAACCATGAACTTTAACGTTATACTCAGCAGATTAACCTATGAGCCATCATAACTCATTGACATGCTTAAGGCTGAACAGTTTCGTAATCTAATACACACGTTTTTGAGATAAGTTTGCAGCATCCATATTTTAATTAGTGAACACTCAGAATTGTTGAAGTCTTCTAGTGACGAGTTGAAAACTGCAATTTGTATAAAAATATTTCTTCTGATTTAGCCATGAAGAAAATATAAGTTTGTAATGATTTCTTACATCATTACAAACCTTAATACCTATTCTTTACACCAAAACAGATATTTTACTAATAAATGCTAAACAGTTATATATTCTCTTCATACCAAACTTATCTACAATACACGAACATTTTGCTTTTCAACTTAACAAACAAAAGTGCTTATATGGGAACCTAAGTAAATAATATTCCTAAAGTAATATTTCTATATCAGTTTGTACTTCCCAATTAATTCGCATGCTTAGAAAATTCCATTTTCATTTTATGATATTAATCCCTTTGAAGTTCCTACAGAGATATGTCACACTGCACAACATTTCAAGACTATGAAAGAAATATGAAATAATGATTTAAGTCTAGTGGTCTGGGCAAACTTTGCGCTTCAATACGTTTAGATGGATGCCAGGCAACCGTGGGTCATAGCGCTATTTTGTAAGCCTTGGTGAATTGTTATCCTATCAATGTCATCTCTGTTTCCTCCCTCTTGTTTATTGCCCTTAAGATACATCACAAAGCTGCATCAGGATAAGCTTATAAAATGAAAAAGATATCGCACTAAACGGAAACAGCTACGTTGGGTAGTAAGAGACAGCAATAATTTATAGTCTTCCAGAAGGAATATGGAAATTCATGTTACTGCGATCTCCATTCTGTATGGAGAGGGGAACGTACAGACAATACATATCAATTAGTAATCTAGTAGTAAAATAATTCACAGTATCTTGGTCACATCTACATATTATATAGATTTAAATAAAGAAGACAAATATTAAATTTAGAATTATCTAGGACATAAACCAATTTATCCAGTTTTAAGTTATCCTTTTGGGAGTGTTTTAAGCTCAATAATACTGACCATGAATAAGGGTTCTATCTTTTATTTATTAATCACATGTATGCTCATTTAATTTTAACGCTACCCTCTTATTAAACCTGGAGTGCAATTGATTTACTAATGACATAGGTCTTGGCTATGAACAGACAGGAGGAAATATCTGACAATATGCGCGTGTGTCGTTAAACATGCACTGTCTGTTAACTATGGTAAGTCGTATAGTGTGTACAGCTCTTAAATGAGAGTAAAAATAGTCTGTTTTAACTGCTTGAACCACATATTATTAAACAACTAAAATGTGGCACGCGAAACGTTTAGTTCCAAGGTTACAGTGCTGTCACTTCTAAATAAACTAACAAATACTCTTTGGTAATATCGTGGTTTCTTATGTAAAAGTTCCCCAGCGGCTCACTAATAAATCCGAAGGCTTCTAATGTTAAAAAACCGAGTTTCGATACTCGTGGTGGGCAAAACACAGATAGCCCATTATGTAGCTTTACGATTAACAACAACAAACATACAATCTGATACTAAAAATATATAAAGATCGATAGCTAGCCCTTGAATTTATTAATTTATTTTCTTCGGTGAAGAAAAACAAATATGTAGAGGCTTAATCTATTCTTTGATTCATTAGCCTCGCTGGAACAGACTAGTTTCGCCGAATTTACAGCTCATCGCTACTGCTTTTGTCAATTTGATTGACTGAAAGTTTTTATTATAATTATATCTGGGCTGTCGCAACAACATTCTGTGAAAGGCTATCTTTACAAAACAAAATAATAACTTGTGTGTGTGTATACCTACAGTTACAAAACTAACACTATAGAGCTTTACAAAAGATAAGTACCTAGAAACCGAAAGAGTGACACAGTTATTATGTACCATACCCTCCTTTATTTTACGTTTCAGAAACGATTTTAAAAAAATGTTTTTGAGATATAACCAAATTCGTAAATTTCTTGTGATTAACCAAATTATACAGATCTGAGATAGCTTCTACAACATGGTTTCAAACCACGTGATGTAAAATTGTAGTTGTGTTTTCTAGTTCAGTACTTAGATGAAATCCAACTACATACATAGTTACCTCAATAGTTGAAATTGTCATGTTGATTCTTATAGTATTTATACAGTTCATACTTCAGTTTCAGAAACCTACAGTAAATTATTTTATCTTTGTTTAATTATATTTCAACTCCATTTTTATTTCATTAAAAGTTCACTTCAGAGTTATCAAGTACTAACCCTTATTTACTTAATTTCTACACGTTTTCAATGAAATTGTTTGTTTTGCTGTCTTTTATATCCAGTTTTGTCTCTTATTTTAATGGGTAAGGTACATTATACATTAACTGTTTCGCAGCCCAAAAAAAGACATGACCCGCTTGTTATTGTGGTTATTGCTATTTATCCAGAGTCCACAGAATACGAAACTGTCAAATATTTTATTTTGTCTACATTATTAACATGATATTAAATAAGAACATCGACGTCATCTTACCAGTTGCAATTGTCACGTTGTTGTTGTTCATTAGTTTCAATGGGTAAGTAAGGTATAATAGTAAAATTAATTTAACGTAACTGAAACGACAGTATGATGTGTGGTAGTAGTAGTATGATTCATTAAGTTTTTGTAATAATGTTAATCAAATGTTCTGAGATAAGTGTAACGTGATATTCTGAGTACATTAATTTGATGTTTGGCGTTAATGACATTTTGAATTGCTACCTGTTGACGTCGTGTTCACAATGAAATATGTTCTGTAATATGATGTATTAAGGTGATTATTTTAATTGGCAGTAGATAGAATATTAATTTATAGTAACTTGTTATTAGATTATATCACATTTTCTAAGATTTAAGTAATATCAACTGGAGTTAAAATACATTGTTTTATATTGCAGGTTGTTTACTTGTGCAGTGTATCTTTATTACGATATTTTCAAAGTGTAAAATGTGGGGACTATTGTAACTCTTCACAAGAATATTAATACCAATCTTCTATAACTGTTTTAAGGTACTCTTCAAGATTAGATTAAAGTTGATAAATAACACGTGATTATGTGTTTGATTAAGTTTCAGTTTACTGCACTTACGAAGGTTTGTTTGTTTGTTTTGAATTTCGCACATAGCTACACGAGGGCTATCTGCACTAGCCGTCCCTAATTTAGCAGTGTAAGACTAGAGGGAAGGCAGCTAGT